GAATGCCAAAGTCAAATTTGCTCTGTTTTCTCTGCACACTGTTACACACAGCAGCTGTTCATACTCTAAGTTAAACATCCCAAGGACTTGCACCAACAAGCAAATTCGCAGAGGGAGGAATTGGCAACCAATCGCAGAGAAGCGCTGCACCCCTCCTCTGCCTCAGGACCTGCCTTCCCTCTCCCTGATAAAAATAAGTGTCCAGGAAATTGCTCAATCCTTCCTCAACTTCCCTATCCTGGGGAAGGGGGTCGACCTCCCACCGTTCACGGGGTCACCTATCTCCTCCACCCCTTCCCTCCTATAACCTGCCAGAGGACCAGGACCAGGGTCCCTCGCTGGGGAAACTCACCACGCAGCCCGGGAGTAGCCATGGTGCGGGTACACGGGACAGGAAACGCAGACTGCCCCGCGGCCGCCCTGGCCTCTGGACAGGCTTATGCCGCGGCGGGGCTAATTCCATCGCGGCTCAGCGGCGTCTGGCGGTGCCCGCCCCCTGCCTGCTGCCGTCTCTCCTCCCCCACCCCTCCCCTGGCCGCCAGCCCCGCCGCGGCTGAGCCCCCGCTCTCCCGGGTGCGCCCTGGGCTCACCCGCGCAGCTAGCGGGGCGTCGGGAAAGGAGCCGGCTCCTGTGATCCAGTTGAGTCCATGACCCGCTGGGTTAGTGGAGCTAAGGGGCGAGACAGTAACGCAGCCTGCTCTCCTGGACCCCAGGAGGCGCCTTCCAGCCCGGTTCAAGTATGAAAATTCCGCCAGATTATCTCATAAACCATCTGGCTGATTAGTTTCCAATCCCGCTAGCAAAGCTTCCTTCCCGTCACCCCGAAGGGTCATTCACGTCCAGAGGAGAGTCTGGGGTCAGGGAGGGGCCGTGCTGCCACTGGAGATCCCGGTCACAGGCCTGCCTTCGCTGCACCTCAGCCCCAGCGGCCCCCGCTTTCTCTAAAGCAGAAGGAGCAGGAGTCAGGGAACAGGTGGGACAGGAAAGGGCAGCAGCAGGGTAGCTTTTACAAGGGCTTCGCCATGAGAACTCTGACAGGGTTCAAGAGGGGTGCAGAGGTGGTTCGTGCAAGCTCCATGCCTAGAGATCAAGAGGAGGGCCGCCTTCTGGAATGTCCGAGGTACCGGCCACATGCAGAGGGATGGAGGCAAGGACAGGGCAGGGTCACCCTGGATGTTACAATCTACACCTCCAACCTGCCAGGAGCCAAACAAGTTCATCAGGACTTCTGGTCCCCGAAATGCAAAGGTAACGTTAAGGTCAATTACACCATTTATGATCGGCCCAGTAAGTCTGAAGCTTCTCTCCTACACCAATAGGTAAACATTGTACCCGCTTTATAAATGTGGGACCCGGGGTGGTAAGGGGAGGAAGTGTACACGTAACCGAGTGGAGGGGAGAAGTGAAGGAAAACCAGAACCTGCCATGCCCCGGCCATGGCTTATTCCAGCCACCAGGAGAAACCATGGCTAAGTTCATGCCAGGCCCTCCTCCTCGCCCACCTCCAGGAGGTGACTGTAGCCATGTGCCCACTTCACAGAGGAGGAGACTGCTCACTCAAAGGTCAAATAATTTGCCTTGAAGAGGATCCCCAAGCAGCTGGTGGCACAAAGTCTGTGCTCCTAACACGTGGCTACTGGGCTTTCTCTCCCTCATGGTGCCCTTCTCCCCACTTACAGGCAGAGACTTCGTGTTTTTTCCCATCCCGAAAGAACTAGAAAATGTTCCACCCTTCCTCCTTTATCCATTCCTTTTCTTCTCTCTCTCCAGCACTTTCTTAGTTTCTGAATACTCCTTGCTTGAGTCTCCCCCAAGCACACACTTTTATGGATTCTGTCTCATCTACTCTGAGGCCGAGTGAAAAAGGAGCTCCCTGAGATCAGAGACAGACCCTGCCTTCGGAGTATCTGTAAAATAAAGGAAGGCTGACTTCTCCGCCAGGTGCTCTTCTATGCCTTTACTACCCAGCTCCCTACCACTGTTTGATCATAACAGCCAGTTTCCCCAACTCAGATTTACACTCATAGCAAAATGTCCTATCAGCAAATGAGTGGAGAAGTTTAGCTCTCGGGGCCCAGGCAGTTGGATAATTGACCGCTTATGCTGAAGAGGCTGCCTCCCTGCTGACTCTCCCTGTGGCCCATGCCTCCAATAGCACCTTGTCCCCAGGTTAGTGTTAGGCGATCAGTCATAAGAGTGACAGTTAATTCCCCGTCCCTGGATCTGGTTTCCTACAGAGAGAGACCTTAGAGGCTATTCCAGGTTGGGGTGGGGTGATGGATGAGAGATGACGACCTCTGAATTATTGAGTAGTTACATAAAACTTCTATCCGTTCTTCCTGCCCTCTACCCCACCCATCCTACTCAACATAATCCATGTCGTCTTCCTGTGATGTAGCTTCTCTTGAGGATAATCACGGGCAGTACCAGACGTGATGGGGACCTGGAAAAGCAGCAGCCACTAGTTCCCACAGCAGCAAAGACTGTGAGCAACGGGGATCATGGAGGCTCTGGTGGGGTAGCCTGGGAGTTCTTGCCTCAGTGTTGGAGCTCCTGAGCTCTGAGCCCGGCCCTGCCACCCAGCAGCTGTGTGACCTGCAGTAAGTTAGTTAAGTTCTCTGCGTCACTTTCGTCATCTGTAAGGGGGTAAAGAGGGTATCTAAATCCTTGCCAGCTCCACCACCCACTATTTCCAATGAACTGAGTCTCTCCCGTGTTAAAAGGATCCAGAACATCCCCTTCCTCCTCATGGTTCTCCTCCCCCATCACCTTGCCAGCACATGTATGGAAAGATTTCTCAAATACTTTAAGGAAGGACCATCTCTAGTTGAGAATGATGGGACCAGTTAGTGACGTGACGTGAGGACCGGGCAAGTTTGGTGTTACTCTTCTTCTTCCTCTCAAGCATGTCTGGAGTCGCTAGGGCCACGGCCCAGCATAAAGCCTGACTGAAACTTGGAACTTCTTTCAGCCCGGAAAATGAAGAAAATCTGTAAAGCTATGCTACTGAGGTTAGACTCATGTATCTACCACACCTTTGAGCCTTGGTTTCTCTATTCTTATTCTTGTTATTTCTGACATTCTTATAGTGCAATTTACAGTAATCGAAAACTCCCAGGCAACACATTGTTAACTTTTTTTACATTTTTGGATAAAAGTTAAAATAAAATGGCGTGAGTTTATTAAAAAAAAAAAAAAACACTCCCAGGCAGAGGTGATTCATCCTTAACTGAGATTAACACTCTTGTCTTTCAGATGAGGAAATGGAATCTGAGAACCATTTAGGGGCTTGTTGGAGGTCATGAAGTTGAACAAGGGACATGGGGTCTAGATCTGTCTGAAAGTATGGGGCCTATCACCCTATGGCTGAGTCTGTGGTGGGCCATGCTTCTGCCCCAGCCACACCCCACATCCGAGCCCCCCTTGGTATTCGGCACCTCTCCTTCCCACAGGGGCCACTAATGGTACACAGGAACTTTTTGGGCCAGGAGCTCAGAGAAATCTTTGCACACCTGGTCAGACACCTTCCCCACTATCTCAACAGGAGCCTGGCTCCAGGACCCACCTGCGAGGCTAAGAAGCCCCAATTCAGACACCTGAGAATGCAGGGTTCCTAAGCTAATCCCTTTTACTGGGGCAATAGGCTGAGTATTTCTGAAGCAGAAACTATGGAGTTCCCGCCCCACACTAGACCCTCCCCACCTGTGGAGATGAAGATGCCAGTTTCCCCCCCAATGTGGGCAGTGCCTCCACAGACACCGGCATTGGAGAGCTTTCCAATGGGGTCTGTGCTTTCTCCCTCAGAATCAGTGTCAGAACTAGTCCCAGCCTGCAGTTGCCAACCAGCCTTCAGACGCAGTGCACCACTAGCCTTTAGCAAGATGAGAGCTTGGCCTTTATTGTGGGCCCGAGAGGGCATAAGAGCAGAACATGGAGAGGACTGAGCAGCACCCTGGCCGGTTGGGCCAAGGCAGGTGGCAGCGGCACCACAGCAGCATGGCAGACCTCACTTGCTGCACTTCCTTGGGGAACACTTGCACTGCATGGCATTGAGGACCACGTGGTAGATGACGGAGCCGTTGGTGCAGTGCAGGGGCACCCGCATGGGCTCCGTCCGCGTGGGTGAGCAGCAGGTGCACTGGTCCTGCACGTCCTCGGTGTCGATGGAGTACACGGCTTTGCTGGCACACTTCCCCTGCAACACAACACAGAGAGGTGGGCACTGCAGTGCTGGAGGGCGCCGGGGTGGGCAGGACTCTGGGAAGTCCACTTGCTCTCCCCGCCCCAAGCAAGGCACCCAGAGACACCCAGGACAGTGAGGCGATGTGTAAACGGAGAGCTCAGTGAAGCCTGGCATCTCCTTCACTCTACGGTGAACCTTCCTAGCTGTAACCTTTACACATGTTTGCTGATCTCTAGAAAACAGAACTCCCATCCTCCACAAATAACTCTCTATTCTCCTTAAAGGACTTGCTAAGTCTTTTCTCAGTTTTATTCTTTCTATTCTTCTGGGATCAAAACTTCCCAGTTCCTTAAAAAAAAATGTACTTAGGGCCAGCCCATGGCTGGTGGTTAAGTGAGTTGGATCCCACCTGGTTGACCATCTAGTTTGAGCCCCAGACCCAGCTGATGTGTCCAAACAAGGGGACTCGGCCCTTCCCATCCAGGTCTCACTGGATTCGGAGACCCTCACCTGGCAGTAGTGAATGTCCACTTCCTCTTCAGACTTGCAGTCTCCCACTTTGACGTACTGCAGCCTGGCAGTGATGTCTTTGCACTCAGGCTCCTCACCTGCAGGATAGACGAGGGAGGAACTGAGGGCCAACCGGGGCTCTGTAGGTCACTCTGCAGCCCCAGTGTCCTCATGGGACTGGGAACGGTCCCTTCACAGTAAGTAAATAACCAAAGCCAGTTGCCAGGGGGGAAATTAGGTTAACTTGAATGCCTCAGCTGCTCCTGGCTCTTCATATTCAGAGATGAAGTTACTTCTGGATTTAACTCACTTAATGGCACCATTTTATTTGCAGGAGGAGCCTTGGTTCACTATGCTTTGGTGAGGTAGATGGATAAGACTTGATTTTTTTATAATTGTAGACTCTAAAAACTATAGTGGCTGGAATGATCCCCATGCTATAACTATATCCCAAAGCTAATGGGCAATGGGCTGCAGTGAGCGGTATGGGCCCAGTTGGGTTCTACTTTATAGTATGCTCTTTTTACTCAATGGGGTTTAGTCCTAAAGTCAGACTTGAGTTCATGTATAGGTATGTGCCAGCTGCGATAACTATTGGAGAGACTTAGACTAATTAAGTTCACTGACAGATCATTTGGGGAGGGGGGAGGCACGGAGGGCAATCGGGGATGACAGGGACAACGTGGGAGGAGGATGGGTCATAACAGAGGGAGGGGGATGGGGAATCTAGGATGGTAAAACAAAAGGCAAGGTATGCAGGACACAAGAATTGGGAAATTATTTGCTGAGAACATATATGTTGACGTGCTTGATTGAGCCAACGCACAGTATATATTGGATGGAAAATTCATTTGAGTGTTGCGATGGGAAAAAAAAATTATAATAAAAAATAAACTATAAAAAAAAAAGAGAAGAGGATAGAGAAAGATAGCAAGTGAACAATAGAGGGGATGTTAGTGAGAAACAGATATGGTTTATTATCTGTTGAAGATGACGTGTATAGTATTCTCAACTGGACTGGTCTGGGAAGTATTTCATGATGGGTGAAGTCTTTTAACAAGCAAAATGAGAAATAGTGATTGACTGTTTTAAAAAATTATAATAATAATAATTATTGGGAAATGCATGGAAAAGACTTTGAATGATAAAGCGGGGAGATCGATGCCTCTGTATTGACTGACATGCATGGCATTCCCTTTTGAAAAAGCAATGGAAGTCAATGTAAAGTTATATGTAATCCAATGTAATATAAAGAAGATTATGATGATAATAAATAAAAAAATTAAAAAAAAAAAAAAAGCTAATGGGCAATGAAGTGGCCAATAAATATAACTGATAGGTACCCTCCCTGCCTCTGGGTAAACGGAAAGACAATGTTGTGTCCATAGCACGGCATTCACTGCTTCTGTGGAGGTTGAAAATATCCTTAGGAGTCTTTGTGGAGGCCTCTCCTTGACCATTGCTGACCTCAGGCCACTGCGTCCCCTTAACACAGGGGTCAGTGGCATGCACATGCAGATCGGACTCTGCTTAGCTCGCCGAGAATCCTAAGACTTAATGTCAATTCACTACTCCCTTCCAAACACTGGGAGCTTTCCATTCTTGGATAGCACCAAATTTAAATCAACCCTAAGTACATATTAGCATGTCTCCCAGATTCCCAATAATTTCATTTTAAAGGGGACGTCTGCCAACTACATTAAGAGGATGAATAAGAAAAACCTATTTAGGCCTGCACACTGTATTCTCTTGCTGTGGATTTAAATCTCGGAGCCTGGCTTATTTTCCCTATGAAGAGTCTCAAAGCCTCCTGGATGCATCGCCCAACAAAGACCCCTTGTTGCTGGTGTTGTAGAAAACGGTCTCTTAGCCAAATTCCATGTTGCAGTATGCCTAGAGAGAACTCCTCCTCTCCGCTGGCTTTCTGATTTTGTATTCTTAAACCATTCAGGCGGGAATTACAGAAAGCGATGCCTTCGCAGTGCGTTTCCTCGATCTGCAATGGTTACAGCAATTGCACGGGCTGTCTGAGTAAGCCATCAGGAAAAGGAGGAATGACCAAACACTGAAGGTATTCATATTTTCACTTTTTTCTATACCTGAGAATAATCACGGGACCATGAACCCAAACTCAAACCCAAAAGAAAAAACCCTAAACAAAAATATTAGTTCGAGCAAGTAATTCTACACTGGGCTTCTGAAAGTTACTTGTGCCCATGAACATGAGACGTATGGGAAGAATATCATCTGATGTATCTGACGTCCAGACCCGATGAGCTCCATCCAGCTGCTCCTGTGAGTGACTAGAACCAATGGGTATGACGTCACTGCAAGGTCAGGAGGTGCCAAAGTGAAGAAGGGAAGGTAACAACCATAGACCAGCCTTATGAATAGAGAGGGGAAACACAGTGGGCTCTCGTTAGAGGGCTGGGGCTTCCCTTTCTCTCAGAGATAGCTGAGCCACCCTCAATAAATAGATATGGATCAGCTCAGCCAAGCCATAGGTCAAGAGTGCTCATTGTAGGGCCAGCAGGTGGCATGGTAGTCAAGGCCCTGGACTCCCACATAGCCAACCGTGGTTCAAGTCCCAGACCCGGTGGCTTGCTTTCTCCCTCTCCCTCTCTCTCTGTCTCTCTTTGGTCATATTGAAGAAGAAGAAGTTAAATTAATAATTCTAAAAAAAATGCTCATCTTCAAGGAGTTTTGGAAAGAGAAGATAGTCTCTCATGATGATGAGTAACCGAAGGAAAAAGGTGCATCAGAGGTTAGAGACAACAGAGAGTTTGGGGAGAAAGGGAGACGACTGTTTTGCGGGCATTAGAAAGGGGATCTGAGCAGGGAGCAGTCTGACAGCATTCAGGGCAGAAAGAACGTTCCCCAGGATTGAACATAAATGACTGGCCAGTGTCTAAGAAATAATTTTCTGGAATAAAGCTTACTCCAAAGAGCAGTCCCCAGATGTGGTCAGGAATTCCAAGGGATGAGTGACTAGTAACATACTCACATGTGCTACAGCAGGTGCCTGGAATGTTCACAACTTTCCCCTAGGAGAACAGCAAAGTCCAGGTTAGGCACATGTAGTCCCTGTAAGCAGCTTTCAGGTCACTCCAGACCGATTCCCAGCTCTGGACTCATAGACTTGAGCTGTTTCCCTAGACATTAAATGTGCATTCCATCCCAAATGTGAACAGATGAACCACCCTACCTGACCAGGCTGAAATTCATTTTTTTTTTTTTGAGAGGTTTTTCGCTATAGGGCACGTGCGCTCGCCAGACAGACAGAGAGAGACAGAGAGACAGAAAGCGAGAAATCACCCCCCAGGGGGGATGGTCATGCCGCAATCCCTTCTCCTCCATTCTCCTCTCGGGATCTTGGGCATACACACACACGTGCCCGGCGTGAGTTTTAAGCTACCGGGTCC